CGTTTTGCGCCAATAACCCTTTATTATCACTTCATAGTTAGGTTTTAATAATTTGAATATATATTTAGCTCTGGTTTGATTCTCATTATTTTTAAAATATATTTTTTTATTCTTTTCAGTTACACATTATTTAATAAAATAATATTACACGTAAGCTCAAATTTTTTTCTTATTTTTTAATCACACATTCTCTATCAATCTACTATTCCAAAATGCATTTTATAGCCAAAAATGGGGCTTAAATAGGCGCTTATTATTTTGCTAAATTAATATAGAAGTTTAATGAAATATATACTTCAATTTTCTGTACATAAATGTAAAATTGAATTGAAGGATGATAAAAGAGAAAAAATAAAGAAGTATACGTAATTTGAGTCCTATTATACATCGATTTTGGAAAATTACACTCTTTCTACAAAAAAGAAAAAAAAAGAAAAACCCAAGTTAAAAGAAGACCATAAACTAAAATCTTACAGACGTAACGTGGAATATCCTAAACCGAACAAAGGGATATTTGTGTACGAGAAGTCTAGTTCCATATGGAATTGGAGGGGCCGACCACTAAGGAAAATCAGACATTTGATATGACAATCTTGGATGAAACTTCAAATCTATTAATAAAAGAGAGAAAACAACTCTTTTTAAACAAGAAAATTTATTAAGGGTATCTTTGACATAATTTTTTTGAGAATAAGTTTTGCGGAAAATAATTTTTCAGATAATATGTGGTTAAAAGTAAAGAACAATTTTTACCGAGAAAATGTATAGTTGAAAATGATTTTAAAGAAAATATAAATTTTAAAAATGCGGTACCAAACAAGAATTTAAATATGTTATATGTATGTTAGTAGGTGTAGTATTGACTTCAGTATCCCTCTTCAAGTTTGATATTTCCATAATATTATGCATCATGGTGAAAAGAATGATTCGATGGAAATTTGGAAAGAGGCGAGTATATTTGTTTTAAGATTTAATTTCTTTTTCAAACTCATTTTTAATAATATATTCTTTTAATAAAATAATTTTGTACGTAAACTTATAATTAAGGATAAATTTGCTTTGAGTACACAACTTGGCATTTAAGCTGAAAACGTTACCGAGATGGTTAAGTCATTTTTTGGCAACTACAAGGTTCTTCCTATCAAAACAATATTATGTTGCCTTTTTTTGAACTTAGCTAGGCATGCTATATTATGCTTTATTTGTTAAACTTTAATTTGATAATCACGATATTTGACTAGATATCGATATGATTATATGGAATATGAAATAGAATATAAATGTTTGTTAAGTTGATTTTATAGTTAATGGATAGTCGCAAATTTTGACTAGAGATCTATATGATTAAATAGAATACAAAATTTGATTTGCTCATCATTCCTAAGTAGTTTTCGTCCAACTTCATATAGATCTTAAAATGGCAAAGCTTAAGCTCCGAAATGATTAGCTTCGTCATGCAAGGCTATGGCCATTCACTATTTCAACCACTCTACTTTAGTATCAAAAGCTTAAAGTGTACTTACAAGTTGTATGATTAGACTCCACTAAAATGAGAAATGCTATAAGTACAGGATTTTTGCGCTACTGTTAAAAACAGTTTTTGGCAACAGCAAAACCTGTGTAGATTTATTAATTAAAATATTTTAAAGTTATCAATTGAACTTTGTATTCTTGAGGTGAAATAATCTTTGGTTTCACAATAGTCAATAAGTGAATGATAGATTCATTAGGGATGTTAATGAGTTGAACCAAAATTTGAGGCTCGGCCGCTCGGGTTTGGCTCAAGTAAAAATGATTCGAAACTTTTTTGGCTCGAGTCGAGTCGAGTTTTTGCTCAGCCAAAAAAATTATGAACGACCTGGGTTTTCGGCTTTGGCCTTGTCGAGTCGAGCCGACTCACAAATTATTATTATTATTATAAAAGCAAGCAGCAGCTGCTGCCTGATTTTTTTTTTTATTTTTCAAATAAAAGCAAGCAACAATTGCTGCCTATGTTTGTTTTTTCAAATTTTTTTTAAAGGTCCGACTCGTCACGAGCCGAAAACAGGCCATGAAACGAGCCGACCCAAGCTCGGGCCACTGCCCCAAAATGGGGCTTAGCTCGAGCCTCGGCTCGGTAAAGCCACGGGTTGTCCAAGCCAACGAGCGAAGTTGACACGCCTAGATTCGATCTTGAGTAGTGTACAAATCATGTATATAGAATAATCGGTTGTATACTAATAATCGATTTCAAATGTTTCTCTTTATTTTTTTAGTTTTACGGTGAAATATATGTATAATTGTATGCATAACAAATGTAAAATTGACCTAAAATAACTTTGGAACTTAACCAAGCGCGCCTGCAATTTATCATAGACTACCATGAGGCCCATATTAAAAGCACATGGAAAATATTGGCCCTATGACAAAAACAAGGGCTCTAAGTCTAGTAAGTAAGAACCACTTTTAAGGTTTTCTAAAATCCCAGAATTCATCAGCATTCCAAAATGTATTGCCTGCTATTTTTTCATCAAACCAGTCTATCTCTGCCAGAAAATCCTCCTGCTGGGACTCCATTTCAGTAATGCCATAACTGCTAACGTCCACATGGTAACCATCATCTTGAAATGAATAATCATAAGCAGTATTAATGTTGCCACAAGCTTGGTTCAAATTTTCTGAATTCTCTGCGGGCAGCTGTAAATTTTCCTTGTGCTTATCAGAATAATTCACCTGAGACCTGGATTTAGGACATGGTGTAGTGATTGTGGGCTTTTGAGTTTCCAAGTTTGAAATGGAGGAAGAGGGAGATGATGTTTCTGATGAATTTTGTTCCATTTGTTCAAGCAATCTTGGTACCCAAACCCCTCGAACTGCGTCAAGAAATCTCTTGCTATTCACATCAACCGTAAGCTGCCGGGCTTGTTTTTGCACTCTAGTTCTCCAATAGTTCTTGATTTCATTATCGGTTCTTCCAGGTAAATGCTGTGCAATCTTCGACCACCTGCATATACAGTACGGTCGAGGAGATAAGTGTACAGTATAATTAGACTCAGCACATTCCAACCCACAAAGGACCTCTAAGTATTCACCTGTTTCCCCACTTGCAATGGAGTTCAAGGATCAAGAGCTGTTCTTGTGGGGTAAGGTTGCCACGCTTAATATCAGGCTTCAAATAATTCAACCACCTCAACCTGCAGCTTTTCCCGGTTCTCTTAAGCCCTGGATCCCCCATCAAAACAACAAATTTTGGTGAAAAAATACTGCAAAATAAGAATATTAGAAAAGCTTTTTTACTTGTTGGAATTTTGAAATGATACCTGCACATTTGGCTAAGGTATTCCAGTGGCCTTCGCCATGTAAAGTTATGTATTGAATAAGTAGATTATCTTCTTCATTAGACCATGGGCCTTTTCTTAGCTCATCTGCATCTTCATGTGTAGAAGTGCTTACCCCAAGTTTACTCATGATGAGGCAAGAGAAAGATGTAAGATAAGAATGGGGAATTTTAATTTGTTTGACGGATTAAGCCAATAAGATATTATATATAGTGGTTGGAAAATAAGGAGGATCAATGGAAAGCTAAAATCAGACCCCAATTAAGAGAGTTTTCTCCACATGATATGGCTTTTTTTATGACAATTGCAGCCCACACATAATTTTCTCTCATTGATAAATATGAAGAAAGAGAAGAATGCTCTTTGTATGAGCATATAAATCTGCGAAAACTGCACCACCGCCCATTTTTCTTCACTTTTTATCTACACATTTTTGTGCATATTAGTCAAAATTTATAATTACGTATATTTAAAAAGTAGATATTTGTATCCCAAAAAATTTGTGAATAAAAATAAAATTCTATCAGCACATGCACAATTCACAACTTATAATCTACCAATTTATTTATTTATTTTTGTTTCACCAAACATGCACTAAGGCCACTAAAAAATATTTTCTATGAGCCCCCACAAACTTGTAGCTTGACTTGGTTGGCTTGGCCCCAAGAAAAATGAATTTGAGGTATTTCATTGATAAGATCATAAAGAGTGGTTGAAATTAGTACAAACCAATCAAATAGAATTTGAGTGTTTTAAGCAAAAGATGCGGCGATATATTTAACTAATTAATCTTGGAATTTTTGTTTTGAAACAATTAAAATTGTTGATTGATTACCAATATTTTTTTTTCTTGTCATTGACTTTTCAATATGATAACTTCGCAAGTTTGCAATATATATCCACAAAGAATTATCAATATACATGTAAGAGGAACTGTTTGTTGTTGGCATTCCCCTTATATGTCAGAATTTGGCTAGTGATGTGATAGGGTGTTTTAGAAATCAATGACTCTGATGAATGTCACGTGAAAGAATATCAAACTTAATGTAAATGATAATGTACACATAACATATTTAATCCACAAATCTCCCTAGCAAAACCACATCCCCAACTCGTCCCTTGCAACCCCAACTCCTAGGTCCTTGCAACCAACTTATTCTCTACTCCTCATTCCATGCTCGACCTCTAAATCCATTTATAGCCTACCCCAAAATTTTCCACCCTTGCCAGTCACTCAATGGCCATACTTCCTTCCTTTAGGGATGGTAAAAAAATCCGACAAACCCGATACCCGTTCCAAACGGGACGAAGATTACCAACTTAATTGGGTAGTTGGGGCGGGGTGCCCGTTTAATATATATATATATTTTTAAATTCAATACTTTAAATGGAAAATTTTACGAAATTTTATTAGTTTTAATAGAAAATGACAACTA